AAATCAACAACACTGCAGGTATCGTTTTCTTTATCGCTCAAATCCATGAAATTCCCGAAAGTAGATATATCTGTAAAAGAACATAAGAATTCTAAAGATGTAGACATTTTTACCACTGTAAATGCAATAATTAACTACTTAACATGTTTAAAATGACGAAATTATTAGTTAAATTGTATCCATTTACTTCAGTCAACATTTTTCAAGAAGAAAAAATGGATATTGCATCTGCCTGTAAACATCAAGTCTAAGCCATAAAATAAGTAAATACTATGCGTATATAAATTCTAAGTATTTCCGTAGATTTCCCTTAATGAAATACATGTGGAGGAGTTTTGACAGCCTTAACAAAAGTATGCAACTAAGTATATGGAGTAATTGACAAAACCAGCTATCCCACCTCATCACGTCCATGTATAATCCTTTAAAATGCAAAAAAATTCACTAAAAGTCGCTATAACATGTCCCGTAAATTATGGCCGGATAAGGACACCATCATTTGCTGTTTATGCTAAAAACGCCTCATCCATCAACTTTTTAGCAGGAATACAAATGTAAAAGTGCGTAAAACAACGAAAAATTACCTAATTTTGAGGTTTATTCAATAAATAAAGTCAGTAGACATCAGCTGATCAAATGACCTACGGTGGTATACAGGCTGCCCCAAGAAGCGAGCGCAAAGAAATCAAATTGGTTTACACTAGCTCTAATAGCGCGAACTTTGAAAAAGGAGTAAATTTTACACGCTCTTGTTTAACTTGGGGTTTTGTTGCGTTATACGTTCCAAAAGTCTACAGATTAACTTTAAATCAGTTTATTCTGATAGAAGCTAGTTTGCATTTCAGTTTCGAGTCTATTTAGTTATAGGAAGTTGTGCTCTTATAACTTAATAGTTGTACATATCCATTTTTGTGCAATCATTGGTTTTTTATCACTGACTTATAAAGGTTATATGTATAAAGTCATATTTTAATATTTTTGCTCCAATTCGCTCTAAAAAGCATGCTGATCAAAAGGAATCGCCAATCTCCAGTTGAAGAAGGAATGCGGCGTGATAACTGCAAGAGATGGTTCCACATCATGTGCACAAACCTAGATCCTGCAGCATGCAAGCGCTGCTGCAAACCTCCGGCGAACTGGCTGTGCATTGACTGCTGTAGCATGACTAAGTTTCGTATAACGGAAACCATTGTCCCTCTCAGTGGGGCTCTAGAGCTCACGGACTGCACGGGTCTTCCACCACAGGAGAAGAGCGACTACTGCTCAGACACCGATGCCGTGACTAGAGTCATCGACAAAACAACACACGTTCCCGATGCGTCTCTGTCAATGAGTACCCGTCAGCACAGAAGAGCACCCACCATATTCCAGACACCTATGCTGCCCCTACGATACCGGATAGGCCCTCCAGTGACAGTAATGGGAATACTGGCATGAAGAAGGGGCGTACCAGGGGGCGAATACCTGCAGCTCATGTCGCCCAGGGACTGGTAGATCAAGCTCCGTCCACACCAGTGGATAGCAGGCAGATAAAATCGACGACGATTTGCAAGGAGGACGCCAATGAATGGCTAACATAGCCTCTCGCAAAAAGCGATATAATGGCAACAAATCAGCCACATTGCCCACGGAGGACAGAAAGACATTTACACCGCAGAGCAAGAAAGCCACGGCAAGCAAAGCTGATCTCTCTGACAAGTTGCTCATTCTCCACAAAGTGGAAGTCACTGGTCTCCAATCCCAAGGCCAGATTCGAGCATGACCTTAACTTGGTCGAGCCCCTTTTAGATAAGCTACTGCCAAAAACAGTATCAGACAAAACCACACACAGTCTATATAGAATCGGCCAAAAGCTTGACTCTACAGTAAATCAGCCTGTACGCTCTCTCAAAGCTGTACTGAGCTCCAAAGAGGAGAAGGATGCTATTCTCAGCAACTCTCAAATTCTTAAAGGATCAGGCATATATGTCCGTGCCGACTTATGCCTAGTAGACCGTGTCAAAAGACAGTCTGCGGACCTGGAATTAAACGAAAAACGCCGAAACGGCGGAAAGAACCTCAAGATTAAGGGTTTTCGGGTTGTCAGAGTTGGAAGTTTGATGATCCCGAAACCGCTATGGGTAGGCCGGGGAATCACCAAACAGAATTGACAGTTCGTTACACAAGCGCCCGCAGCCTGTGGGACAGACGAACTAAGCTGGGTAATATGATAGACTCCGGAAATCTGGGTGTAATTTTCATCACAGAGACATGGCTCATACCCGATGTCACTGACAATGAAGTTAGACTGCCAAACTTTGAAGTGCATAGGGTGGACCGACTAAACCGCGAGGGAGGTGGCGTAGTCATCTACCTCAAGAAATGCTTAAACGTGTATAGCATCGAAGCACTCGCTCACGAAAATGAATCGTACGAAATTATACGCTGCAGACTTAAATGCGTAGGCCGAAATATTGACCACATTGCTATATATCCAAGTCCTAACTGCAGTGCAGATGACTTCTTAATAGAAAAGCTATGCTCCTGGATATCAAAATGTCGAAGTCTCGTATTCAGAAACTTCAACCCCCAACAGTTGACTGGACAAGCTTTGCGACGCCACCTTCAGACAACTCCTTTGATCAAAAACTGCTGGAATCTAGTATTTCACTGACCCTGGTCCAGCATGTCATAAAGCCCGCGCGCTATGACTCACAGCACTCCACTCAAACTCCGGACCTAGTGTTCTCCCATGGTGAGGATGTGGATCTCATTCAACATCTTCCTCCTTTGGGAAACGTGATGATGCTGTTCTCACTTTCAAGTTCACAGCAACAGCATCATGGGCCAAAACCCCAGCTCGACCAAACGTTTGGAAAGCTGATATAAATATAATCGTCTCAGTAGCCAACTCAGTAAACTGGTACACAAACCTAGAGTTTCAAGTAGAAGCTGCATGGAACCAGTTTGAACAACTTTACGCCAAAGTAACTGAACCTTTCATACCTTGGTCTGTCCCAAAGGGTCGGAAACATTGCCCCCCCCTTGGATAAACCGAGAGATTCGTAAGTTACTCAGACGTAAACACAAATGTTGGAACTCTTTGACACACTTGAGACTCCTGAGACCAGGAAATTATACAACAATGCTAGGAACAAAACTATAGCAGAAATCTGCCAATCAAGGATGAAGTTCGAAGAACATCTGGCTCAAAATGCAAAGGTACAACCTAAGAAAACTTTCTCGTACATGAACTTCAGGAATAAAATATTCAATGGTGTTCCAAACCTGACTACTGACCATGACACAATAGAAGAAGATCAAGAAAAAGCAGAGGCAATGGTAGACTACTTCTCCCAAGTCTTTACACGGGAGTCGTTACTCCTCATAGGATCAGTTCTGGCTGCATCAGAGGAACACGGGATAGATTCCGTTGACATCGACCAAGAAATCGTGCTCAACTACCTAGTGAAACCAGATGTAGGGAAATCAATGGGTCCTGAAAATCTTCATCCAAGGCTTCTTAAGCAGGTATCGGCTCACATGGCCGGCTCACTGACAACGATCTTCAAGCTATCTCTCCTAAATGGAGTGTTACCGCGTGACTGGATAGACGCCAAAGTAACCACCATCCACAAAGGAGGGTCAAGATAAAGCCCTTCAAATTATAGGCCTGCTAATCTTACCAGCACTTTAATCAAAACACTGGAAAAAATCGTCAAGGAAAGTATCATGGCATATCTAGAAAGCAGCAGAGAAAGATGGCTTCCGAGGAAACCTCTCATGCCTGTCAAATCTCCTCACTGCAAGAGAAAGCTGGGTCAAATCAAGGAACAACAGAAGACCCGTTGACATCGTCTTCATAGACTTCATCAAAGCCTTTGTTAAAGTTCCTCACAAAAAACTACTCATGAAGTTGGAAAGTCTTGGTATCAAAGGCAGATTAATAAACTGGTCGAGGGAATTCCTCATAGATAGGAGACAGAGGATTAGGATCAACTCGAAACTCTCCTCTTGGACAGCAGTGGGTAGCGGAGTGCCACAAGGCATGGTACTCGGACCTCTCCTATTTATTTTGTATATCAGTGAGTTATCTCTGCTCACCGACTCCCCTATGGACCTATACGAAGATGACTTAAAAATTTGGAGAGAGCTGAAGGGCAACAGTGATACGTCCACGTTGCAAGAGGACCTCAACGAATTGTCAGAGTGGTCAAGAGAATGGACGTTGCCGATCAATGTAGTGAAATGTGCACCCATGGACCACGGACAAGCAAGCATTATATCCTACGAACTATGGGGAATAACACTCCCATCAATTCGGACTAATTTGGATTTAGGTGTCATAGTTAAAAACTACAACACACCGTCGCGCGTTGGCTGCACGTAGCTTCAGATCCTTATGGGCGATTCGCAGAGCCTTTACTAGAATCATCAGAGATATATTCACCTCCTTATGAACATCTATGGTTAGGTCAAGACCAGAAAACTGTATCCAGGCGGCCACCCAGTCCTTGTCTTAAAGAAGACTCACACATTCTAGAAAGGGTTCAAGGGAAGGCAACACTTATAGTTCTCGGCATGACTAACTTATCATACGAGGATTGTCTAAGCAGTTTAAATCTCTTCTCCCTGTCATACCGTAGGCAAAGAGGAGATTTAATCACAATGTTTAAAATTTTAAATAATGACTGCGGACCTGATTTATTCCCTCTTTTCCTTCCCACCAGGTTGGAACACCTTAGAGGACATAGCAGGAGAGTTCAAAAGCCAAGAAGAAATCATATTGCTGTTGAGTACTGTTTCTCACACCGAGTCATAAACTCTTGGAACTGATTCCCAGAAGAAGTTGTGTCTGCAACCTCAACTGATTCATTCAAGAAGGGTTTGGACAACCACAGAAATTTACGAGAAAAAAATTAACATAGGCTCCAAGCCTCCTATCCTCAACCAATCAATTTTAAATCTGATGTCTTAAAACACGATATTGGATACTGAATTGACCTTTCAAGGCCACACCCGCAACTCACGTTTTTATAAATTGTTGGTGAGCATGTTGAGTATTTCGCGACGCACTCTGTAACTGGTAGTTCAGCAGTACTATTCACCATATCTTTTTGTCCAGTTTTTATTGTTTGTACTGAACATTCTGGTTTTATCGTCATGTATTCCTCATAACTATAGTGGGTATGATCTTTCTCGAGGTCATCATTTTTCGTTTATTTATTTGTGAGTAGTTTTTATTATAACAGCCAAGGAATTGTATCGTAGAAAAGTATACCCGGAGTGTTTTTGGCAGACATTGCCAAGTATTCTCACTTTCCCGGCAGAAATGCAGGAAAAAGACGTATTTAATTTTTGCAACCTCAGTCTGTCCTTTCTGTGAATTCTAACGTCACTTCGATTAGTATCGTTAGTCATTACAAATCAAGCGCAGGCGGTGTCATATTAGATATTATACAGCAGCACGGTTATAGAATATATTGAAATTTATTTCCTAGACATTTAATTCCAATAGCCACCAAAACTTGTTAATGTATTAAATCATTTGCATTATAACCACCACAGTCAGAACTACGCTCTACTGCAATGTTGACCAGCGGCACTCGTTTGTTGGAGAACCATTTTTGACTTTTTCCCCTAGTCTTCATATATATGTAGTCATGGTAATGGCTGAGATGCGATAGTTTGTATATAGATGTAGTTATATAGGCAGGTTGGAGTTTCAGTATGAATTCCATTCACCTCATAAGTGTTCGACCGTTTAGATTAACTCATCTGAGTAGGAATTTGCATCACGTTAACACTCAGCCATCCTGATCCACTTCACATGTTTTAAGACTATAAGTCACGTTAATTGAGGACTGTGGTACTACCCAGTGGCTTAAGTTGAAGTATACGGCGGTATAGTGTAAAATGTCTAGCACTGTTTTCGTGTCATTTAAAATAGAATTATATGGTGATCACACTAAGGAATCGATCAATGTAGGTTAGGAAATGTACTACCAAGTCCTGAAATGAACCACAACTAGTTTTTAATTTTTAGTTCAGTTTTCTGACTTTGCAATTTCCTCTAAATTCCTACTGTAATACTCAGTCTTATTTCTTACTCTGATACCTTGCAAGTTATCTCCACACCCATGGATAAAATATCCACATGTGTCTTGTCACGGTTACATTTGTTTTCTCATATTTTGTAGTACATTGCTGGTCTTAAGTGATATGTCTTGAGAATGTCCTTTGTCATACATGTCTCTACAGTTTGTGGAGACACAAAGCCGTACTATTCCAGTTCTACATACTCCTATACTTCCTTTCTGTTAGTCCGGCACTTACATGCCATTTCTGTAGTATATAAAACATATAACCAATAAGTTATGCCTAACCGTCTACCATCTAGTTCTTTGTTTTCAAGAACCGCAAGACATCTCAGGCTTCAGGGAATTATTTAGTCAACAACCTCTTTTTGTCTGAATTATATTTTTTGGATTTAAATATTATTCATCATGTTCACGAAGGCTGCTTATATTCGCCTACCGTATGGAGAAGTTATTAGGTGAAATACAATTTCGCTTTTAGTTACTTAATTAGGTCTAGAATATCGTCATGCTGATGATTTACTAAGCTTCAGCATAGAACAGCACAGAAGTGCAGTTCAGGTTGCACACAAAGGTGGAGAATGAGACAAAAAAGAAATTCAAAAGAACTATATTAAGCAGAAATAAGAGGGAGAAAAAAAAATAATATGGAGAAGTATAACGGTGTAGTGGATATGAGAGATTACAAAAAGTGAATTCATTTATGCCACTTACAACGATTTTGAAACAAATCACCAATAGTCTCGAGCCATTGGTTCTTAGCATTCCCAGAATCCTACCCAGACGAGATTATTGACTTGCTACCAGGGAATAATCTCGTCGACTTAGAATATGCGGACGATATAGTCCTTCTAGGTGAGGACGCTGACAAAATCCAGCAGAGTCTTCTGAACACCTTGAGCAACAATCTTCGTATGTTTGGCATGCGATTCGCCCCTGTAAAATGTAAGATGATGCTGCAGGATTGGACTTCACCGACCCCTAGATTAGAAATAGGAAGTGAAGTGGTAGAGCACGTTGACCACTTCACTTACTTGGGAACTACCATCAGCCCCAACGGGTTGATCTCCGACGAAATCTCAGCACGAATACAGAGGGCTAGTTTCGCATATGCCAGTTTTCGCCGTCTCTGGCGTAGACGTGATATCCGACTACCGACCAAAGGGCGTGTGTACTGCTCAACAGTCCTCTCCGTCCTCCTTTATGGCTGTGAGACATGGCCATTGAGAGCAGAAGACATGAAAAGATTATCTGTGTTCGATCATAGGTGTCTGCTTTCTATCTCCCGTGTGAAGTGGTATAATAAGGTGAGCAATATTGAGGTTAGGCGTCGAGTGCTAGGTAAGGAGGGTAAATCAGTCGACGAGACTGTGAAATTACATCAACTGAGATGGTTAGGACATGTGTTACGTATGCCTAGTCATCGCCTTCCTCGACGGGCAATGTTAGCTGATATAGGGCCAGGCTGGAAAAGAGCTAGCGGCGATCAAACAAAAAGATGGCACCAGTCAATGAAATCCACAACAGCTAGTCTAAGCCACGTAGGAAGATGTAGACTTCCTGGTTGGGGTCCTCGAGACGGTAAAAACCAATGGTTGGAAACAATTGGTGACATGGCTCAAAATAGTTTTCAGTGGCGCAGATGCATCCACTCCTTGTGACTTATGATTTCCAATTAAACTGTTTTGTTCTCCGTTATTACTATTCCTTTGTCTCACACCTCTGTTTACTGTCTTCTATATTATGCATTTCTTCTACTTTCTACTCTTGCTTTGTGTGCTACAAGGAGGGAGTGTGGCGACTTGAACTTCCGCACATATGTGCAAAGTTGTATGTCGAAAACCGACCGACCGACCCAGACGGCCTACACTCTCCTACATGGCTCAAAGCAACAGTCAAAGACTGCATGGACAGACGCCAAATTTTGATGATGCACCAACCCTAACTTTTATCCAACCTAATCCTATGTCGGTCATCATTGCCCATCGAGGATGGTGACGGCTCTGTATGTTCAACGTGTGTCCTAGTCATCTCAATCGATATAGCTTCACAACCTCACCGATTATCTTACCCTCCTTACCTAAAACTATACCTAACCTCAATATTACTCAACATATTGTGCCATTAACACGGGTGGTCAAAGACAACTATACCCTATGTCTTCCACTTTCAATGGCCATGTCTCACATGTCATTCTAATGTAAAAATGTATTTAGTTACGCGAAGATCATATGAATTTCTCTCTGCTTCATATATTGGACCCATATGTTTCTTTTGCCTCCATTAATCTCATATAGAGGTAATCGTATTGTAGTTAACACTGATCCTGTATAAAGGTGGCGATGAACATGGTCAACATCCTTTAGTAGGGCACTTCAACGAAGGTTTCCCAAAGTGAATGTATATCGGGTCAAGTGAATTATTTCAGTAGTATCTCTATTGTGTTTCCCCCATTTTCAGCTGAGGTACTTATTCATATTAATATGTTTATTACATTTTTATGCTTTAAACGTGTAGGTTTCTAATTCAACATCTATTCTCACTAAAAATCCCATGTCGGTAGTAAATTTTACGCTTTTAAATGATGAACAAGACAGTGTGCCATGCCCAGATGCTGTTCCTTTGGCTGTTGATAAACTGACAGACCATTCAAAAAGTATAATAAACAATCTTAAATCGCAATGCTCAAAATTACTTTCTGGAAGCTGGTCTGATACAAGCAATTTCTGCGTAGAACCATCTCGGTAAGTATTCACTGCCTGTATAAATTGAGTATAATCAGGCGGGTGTTAGTTTTTTGCATTGTTAATAGTAAGGGAAAGCTACACTATTTCCATAACCACGATTCAAGTTCCTCAAAATCACTTAATCACGTATATTTTTTAACCATGTCGGACATCCTTTTTTTCTGAGCTCACCATTAAAATAAAATGTTGATTTTAGATGGTTAAAGGCAATTGGCCACAGGAAGCCTTGCTTGACCTAGGTTTTGTGCTAGTTAGCACTTGTCAGCAAGGCGTATCTGCAACCTCGAAGGAACTCATGTCCCTTCTGAAATCTGAACCCGCGTCACCCAGTTCTGCAGTCAGAGACGTTACCACTGAGCGCCAACTAGCTCGAAACCTAGATCCAAGGCTTCCTGACGATTGCCTCCAACAATCTAACTTCAACAATTCAAAGTCCACCGTGATGACGCGCTACCTAGAATGGTGGCCAAGTTGCAAACCTGACTGTTAGAATTCAGTCTGCACTAAACAAAGGACTAGACACGTCACACTAATTACTGTGGCCATGTCAATAAAATAAATGCAGCTGTAATCATTTCTTGGGGACACTTTGCCAGATAGTTGAAACTTGTTAATTCCTAGGGAAATCATAAAAATTTACCATTGATTATAATCATTTATTTGGCGAACTGATTTTATTACTAGATTTAACGTAATATGTTTAAAATAGTCTAGCATCGACTGTTTCAAATATTAAAAGAACAGTTCGATTACATCTCATTGTTTTATTACTGTTGATTACAAAGAAAACTGTTTTAAGAATTATGGGGCGTTTGTTTTTTGTCATTGACCATTATCACATCTACATCTTCAAAGATGAAGAGAACAGACAGTCCAAGTATTCCAGTTTCATGTTGAAGATCGGTACATTGTGTGCGTTCTGTCAGGGTGAACTGAATAAAGAGTTGCCAAAGTATGACATTATCTCTTAGCATTATGTGATTTGATGTCATTACCAATGTAATCATATTAGAGCGATACAGTTGTGAGCAATAAATTGTTCTTAGTGCTTTAATCAATATAGTTTTACATAAATTTCCACACCAAAAAAATAAACTTGGGAGAAGTTGTCACCTAAGTTTACAACAACAAATAAAATACGATGCTGTTTAATCCACTGTTGTTTATAGTTCTATCAGTTTGGGACATGCTAAAATTATGCTAATTAGTTATCTATTGACGCTGAATCGCATAAAGTTTTCGACATAGATCTACTCCTTTTAATGATTTCTTTTGGTATATAGTGAAGGTAAATGTCAGAGTTCATTTTCTAACAGTTATCTGGTATGTGTTCACTCAGTTAGTGAATACACTATCTAGGTGCTTCTTTCAAGTAGGTTTTATAAGAAATGATTTATCAAACATCACTTTCACTTATGCTAGGTAAGGAGGGGAAATCAATAGACGAGGTTGTGAAGTTACATCGATTGAGATGGTTAGGACATGTGTTAAGTATGCTTAGCCTAGCCGTCGCCTTCGTCGACCGACGAGCAATGTTAGCTGACATAGGATGGATTAGGTTGGAAAATAGCTACTGGTAGTCAAACCAAAACATGGCGTCGTCAGTCAGTGAAATCCACAACAGTTACTTTAAGCCATGTAGGAAGGTATAGACTTCCAGGTTGGGGTCCTCGGGACGGTGAAAACCAATGAAGGCTTGGGACAATTGGTGATATGGCTGGCTCAAAATCGTTGTCAATGTTTCGGTGCAGAAGCATCCACTCCTTGTGACTTATAATATCCAATAAAACTATATTGTTCTTCCATATTACCATTCTGTTTGTTTCATATTTCTGTTTATTGCCTCTGTTTTGAATCTCATTTTCCTTTCTCCTCTTGCTTTGCGTGGTAAGCGAAGTGTGGCAACTCGAACTGCTGCACATCTGTGCAAACTTCTAAGTTGAAACCAGTCAGTCAGTATGCATGAACATTTACGTTCACAGTGGAGCATAAGGTGGCTTCAATTTAGAGGCTTGAAGTTTCTGTAGCAGTGGTGTTTATCTTTACGGAATGGGGTTGCTAGCCTTCCCTCTTTACCAGTCTTATTACTGGCTTAGCGAGGTAAAGGAGTGCATCGTGGGCCGGGGATCGAACTCCGGACCACATGCGTGATTGGCGAGCATTCTACCGCTGTGCCACCGACGCTGAACGTTAGGTTAATAAATGTATTTTAAGTGTCTGTTGCAATTCTTTTTGTGTGGTTAAGTACAACCCAGTTTTATTCTCATATCGTGTGCATATAGTTAAATCATGCACAACCTGTTTTTGTTTGTTTGTTTGTAGGAGTTGTGGTTTAAGCAATTACTTATATATTGGCTTTTTGAAAGATGATGTTATTTCTGCTAAAAATGAACCGCGTAAAGTACTTATTCGTGTATACGGTGAAGTTTTGCGAAGTTGTACTGATTCTATCGTTTCTGATTCAGTTAATTTTGCAATACTTTCTGAGAAACGTATTGGACCTAAGTTGCATGGTGTATTTCCTGGTGGACGAATAGAAGAATATATTGAGGTAAGTGTAATGTATTTGAAATTATTTATAATTATAAAGGTGTAGCTTATATCACAGGTTGAAATGCTGACTAACCTTTTCGTATATTGATATTTGTGCGTCGGTGGCACAGCGGTAGAATGCTCGCCGACCACGCATGTGGTCCGGGGTTCGATTCCCGCCTGACGACGCCCTCCTTTACCTCGCTAAGCCAGTATTAAGACTGGTAAGGAGGGAAGGTTGGGCTGGGCATGAAGCTAGCAACCCCATCCCGTAAAAATAAACACCACTACTACAGAAACTTCAAGTCTCTAGCTTGAAGCCCTATGTTTCACTGGGAACGTAAAGGAATGAAAAGAAAATATTGATAACTAGGTTGCATCCGTCAACTTGTGAGTAATGTTCATCGCTTACTTACCGAATTCCACTTTTTCACAGCATGGATTACAGAACATAATTATCACTTAATAACGCGCCTTCGGGTGTTACAAATCTAAACGCTTAATAGTAAGAAATAGATCTTTGTAATTAGTAAACAGACTTGAGTCAATGACTAACTGGTTTCAGCTTATTATCAAACCTTTATCATAATATTACGGTGAAAGTACATGTATTTACTCTTCGGGATTGGAATCTTTTTCTCTGACACAATTAACATTCATAATAATAAAATAATAAATTTGTACAATTACAAATCCACTGAGTTAAATCCCCAGGGGCAGAATGGTCGACGAGCTTGTCTTATCACTGGGATGTCCTGGGTTCGAACCTTGGTGGGTGGGTAGAGCTGATGAATCCGGACCTAGAATAAAACAACTGTCCAGTACTCCTAGCTGGTTTTTAATTGTACTCGAAATGGAATCAGTCTATGGTCACACTTGTAACCTACGTTTATTAACCACCCACTCACCCCACCCCCTTGATTAATAAAGTGGCTGATAAGTCGAGAATTGTTCAACATGGGAAGAAAATATTCCTTTTCCACTCACCTTCTATTTCTGGTTTTAGATTAAGATTAAAAGAATTTTACAATTAACGTTGAAATACCAGTCAAATGATGTAGTAATTAACAGTGGCGCCAGTTTTAAAACATCCAAATCCCTTTTATTTGCGGACTCAGGACTTTCCGGTTGCAAGGAAAGCTGGCAGACCACTTAGCCACTGCGACTTGGCTCCTCAATGGTTAGCCTATGAATTCTAACAATTTGTGATTTTAGTATGACTGGCGCCAGCGCCAATATCATCGGTGGCTAGTATTTGTCTTCACTCCCGACTCGGTGGACTCAACTGGTCACGACCTCTCACTAGAATTTCAAGCAACTTCATTCTGTAACCAGTCGCTAGGGAGCGTCAGATTAATTTTCAAAAGTTAGTTTATAGGCATCTGATTTTTTCCAGTCATCGTCTCTTGATGTTTCGCTATGGCTCGTACAAAGCAGACTGCTCGCAAGTCTACTAGCGGATAGGCCCCAAGAAAGCAGCTGGCCACCAAAGCTGTCCGTAAAAGCGCACCAGCTACCGGTTGTGTAGAGAAGCCATGCAGATACAGGCTCGAAACTGTCGCCCTGCGTGAAATCCGTCCTTACCAGAAGAGCACTGAATTGTTGAACCGCAAATCACCTTTCCAACGTGTCGCTCGTGAGATCTCCTAGGACTTCAGGACTGACTTGCGTTTCCAAAGCTCAGCAGTTTCTGCTCCGCAAGAAGCCAGTGAAACCTACTTGGTTGGTCTTTTTAAAGACACTAACATGGACTAATCCTGTGGTGAGAGCTAGCTGCAGGCCAAAAATTGTAGACAGCAATTTACATCAATGTTCACCTCCCGAATCGGGGTCATGAGAAGAAAAAACAATAACAAAGATTAACCTTGAGAAACTCACCAGCCAATCACAGCAGACTTAAAGTGTGCAAATTTGATTCGCAGATATATGGCTTAAGTTTCTAAGAAACGGTCACAGGCAGTGCAGAATAACCTTCAGCAAGAAAACAACCAATCAGAAGATGTTGCTTCTCTGCTAACAATAACGCTAATAATGATGTACATAAAAATCTATGAATATATCTTGATTTTCTCAATAAACTATCTGTTGCCCGGCCCTTGTCTTCTGTCGTTACAATCCCCTATGATATTTCTTCTTCGTCTCCGTAAAATGCCCATCGGTAGTTTGAAAGACAGCTGAAAATGTGCGTTAGTACATTTTTACGACTTAAGAACATAACTAAATGGTGGACAGTAAAAATTAGAGAAAATCTGTTGCATTGCACCAGGTGAAAGTTAAGGTATCCCAGTGACTCAAACAGGCCGCCAATATGTTCCTTGTATATTTGTTATTCTATCTCCCTATCTCATTCCTTTACCCCGTATTATCAGTTGTTGATAATTTTTCACATAATTTTTTCTCCTTTCTCCTCAACTCTTTCATTTTACAGTCAAGACCTTTAACAACTCAAGAGCTTCCATTAGTAATAGACGTTGCTGCACGACATATGGCTTGTTTTCATAAACTGTGTATGCCATTTTCTAAAACACCATCATTCATAATGAAAATGTTAAATAAATATCTTGATCAGTTGACAGACACTCCAGAACATTTGCATCGTCCACGGCCAAAACTGTCTACAAACACTTTATCTCAATTAGCGCTGGAAGGATTTTCATTCGCCAATGATGGACATATGCTAACAGAACCATCGTATGATGAAGCTAAAAGTATGGTTTATCGATTATCGCTTATTGATGAATTCAATTGGTTAAAGTAAGTATTGTAATTTGGTGTGTGTTTGTGGGTGGGTGTGATGAGTTTTCTTTTTAAAGGCTTATTGAAGAAGAGGTGTAAAAACGTTAAGTTGTTTTCAAAGGAAGCTTGTTAACCTGGTTGTTCGTTTCTCCCATCATCTGTGCCATTGTGATCTATGTAAAAAGAAAAGGCTTCCCCTTTAAATGGGAAATAGATGTCTATGTTGAAAATCAAAGCTTAGAGGAATCTACTTTTCTATCTGATCATCAATCAGGGAGGATAATATTTGTTGGTTAAGTGCTGCTGGGAATCAGTGTACCTAAGGTGGTGTTAGTTCATATTGTTCTAGTCCATCCTAAATTTATTTTAATTATAGAAACAGTAAGGTTATGCTTCAACATTATGGAGTACCCCCCCCCCAAATGTTTACCAACAACATTCAACAGCTATGTGACACTGCCACATGTCAGCCGATCCACAACGGAAAACTCAGTGAAGAAGCCTTTGCAGTGAAGACAGGAGTAAGACAAGACTGCTCACAACTATCACTGATGATTTCCCTAATCATGGTGGACTGGAGATTATGCATCAGACTATGAGGAGCGAGAAGACAGGAGTTAGGTTTAATGTTAAACAAAGTCACAAAGATCTACAGGGGCAAAATCAACAAGTCGGCAGAAGAGGCAGGCAGTTAGGACAGGACTTCAAGTGAACATAGAGAAGACGAAGGTGATGAAGATAATCAACCAACGACAACCACCAGAACTAACCGCTGTTAACGAGAGAAATTTGAAAGAGGTCACTTGCTTCACTTATCCGGTCAGGCAGAATCGTTTCAGCCACAGGCGTTCGGCATAGATGGAGATGTCAAAGTCAGAATCGGAAGGGCGAAACAAAGATTCATCACTTTAAAATCCATTTGGAAATCTGCTGCACTCCACAGCATAAAGAAGAAAATTCGAATTTTCAACACCAATGTTAAGTCCGTCAATTCTTCTATACGGATCAGAGACTTGCACTGCACTGGCGCCACGGAACGCTTATTTATTTATTTAAACGCAGAAAAACTTGGTACAATATGGCACCAAGAAAGATGCGCCACACAGTATTGTGTGGGGGCTGAGATACTGCCCGGGCGCCCAGACCGAAGCAGGTGGTTTTCCTAAGGGACCACCTCCCGAGCCTTTGACTTGGAGTCTAATCCGCAAGGCAGCGGAGCAGCGTCAGGAGCTGCGTTCCCATGGTTGCCGGTGACCCATATGGGTTCATACACCATTTGATCCGATTGAATTCTGGAGCCCATGTACCCCATGGTAACTGCTTTTAGTCTAACCGCTATCCAAACAACCTGCAGGGACACGAGTCCCAGCCAGTTTAGCTTGTTGGGTCACTGTGGCATTCAAGCCCGACCACCACGTCAAGGTAGCAGTTATCGGTTGGGAACGCATTTACAACAGGCCACTGTAGACTTTTATCCAACAGCCTCCCCCGTTCGCTGGCTCCATATTGAAGGTTAGATGGCCGGTCGGAAGCAGTTATCAACAAGAAACTCTGGGGACAAACCAACAGGCGAGAACCTATCGCTCAACAAATATTTTGAAGAAAGTGGATATGGATTCGACACATGCAGACTGGCTGACTGACTGCACCAGTGTGCAGCAGTTCGAGTTGCCACACTTCGCTTAGCATACAAAGCAAGAGGAGAAAGTAAAAAGAAATACAAAACAGAGACAAGAAACAGAAATATGAGGCAAAAAGAATAGTGATATCGAAGAAAAATATAGTTTTATTGGATATTATAAGTAACAAGGAGTGGACGCATCCGCGCCTGGCCATTGAGAACGATTTTAAGCCATATCACCAATTATCTCCAGCCTTCATTGGTTTTTACCATTCCGAAGACCGCAACCAGACAGCAGTTTACACCTCCCTGCATAGCTCTAGCTCAATCTAACTGTTGTGGACTTCATTGATTGATGAGGCCATGTTTTGGCTGGACCACCACTGGCTCTTTTCCAATCTGATCGTATGTCAGTGGCTAACATTGTCCGTCCAGAAAGGCGATGACTAGGCGTACGTAGCACATGTCCTAACCATTTTAGTCTATGTAGCTTCACAGCCTCATCTATGGATTTCCCATGCTTACCTAGCACCGTGGGGTCAGCTGAAGAGGACTCCAGAGAGCAGGATAAAGTAAAGATGTCCTGCCGAAACCCTATGCTCCACTCGTAACCATACCACAGTAAGAAAACAAAACGTTACAGAATTAAATGTGACCCCCACAATAGGTAGGTGGTGATAGGCACATACTAATTTTACAACTCTTAATTTGTAAAAATATATAATCGTCTACTAGCTATATTAATGTTCCACGCATCAGTGTTTGTCAATTTCGGCTAAAGTTATGTACGTACCAACTGCATACCTTTTGTATAACACAAATTGTTTTTTTGTGCTTCTTGTGTTTTTATCACTTAATTGAATCTCATATATATGCTTGTTGGAATGGTAATTATTCCAGTCGTTCGTTGTACACGTGTTTCACTCTCAATTTATGCGTATACATCTATCTGACTTGATTAAGAATTTTGTGTCAATATAGTAAAGTGTCTCTTAATCCAATATGTATATATATGTGTATAGTCGTATTCATATTTACCAAAAATATATAGTGGTCTATTATTGAGTAATAGGGGGCATGACATAATTGATACAATTACTCAGAAGTGGCTTTAGAATTGAAAATTAAAAGTTGTAAATTACGTGGTACTCAACGGAACAAAGATAGAAATTTGATAAGTTTAAAATTGCTATTGAGTGAGAGAGAATAAAGGTAGTTGAGTGTCAATTTAACAAGTGTGAAGAGGGTGTGAAAATGTACAAAAGGAACATATGAGAGTGAACGGTTAGTGAAGAGGTTAAGACCAAGGTAGAATAAGAGACTGGACAAACTTTTTCTTTATACAGAGTTCAGGGTTGTATTGATGAATTGCTAGAGCCTCCGCCATACACAAAAGCCGAAACCTGACGCCCTTTGTACCATTTGGCCTCACCTTGTTGACGATCGTGAAAGACGACTGAGGTGGAGCTACTTGGCCTGAGTTCACCAAGTGCTCGAGAATTGAGCTAGTAATTGTCTTACACTGTCCCTTTGCTAACCATGCCGGATAATGTTCAGAGATGCGTTTGGAAAGCGTGCGCTTTGTGCGGCCAACATAACCCTGAACTCTGTATGCAGAAAAAGTTTTTCAGTCTCTTATTCTTCCTTGGTCTTAACCTTCTCACTAATCGTTCCGTTAAAAAAAGTTTTGATCTTTTTTGTAAATTTTTATCTTAATTTTAGTTTGCTTTTGCTTTAATAATTAATTCACTATTATCACTCTCATATGCTCCTTTTGTATATTTTCACACCCTCTTCACACTTGTTAAATTGACACTCAACTACCTTTATTCTCTCTCACTCAATAGCAATTTTAGCCTTATTAAATTTCTATCTTTGTTCCGTTGAGTACCAGGTAATTTACAACTTTTAATTTTCACTTCTAAAGTTACTTCTGAGTAATTATATCAATTATGTCACCCCCTATTACTCAATAATAGACCACTATATATTATTTGGTAAGTATAAATACGACTATACAGCCGCCTCTGTGAAGATGATTTCGTCGATAAAGAAAATTTTCTTCATGACTCAATGGGTATTCTCGGTGATATATATATATATATATATATATATAACACGGATGATAATGTTGATGGCCGAAAGAAGTTTTCACAGTCGACCTTTTTGATTTCTTACTGACCTTTCATAACCTTGAGTGTTATTAAGTAATAATAATAGTAATAATAATAATAACAGTATTGATCATCATAACAACGCTGTGTTTTAACAGCAATCAACAACTTGTCACTGACACATAAAACACTTTGGACAATTAGCTGATTAGTGTGGAATGTTCTACTCTCTCTCTTTCTCTACATATATATTTGAGCAATGCAACATTTTCACTTATTTTAGTAGCTATTCTGTTTTTATTTTTGTTAGCAATAGTTTTTTTGTTGTGTGTGTGTTTTATATGAGCCACTTAACCATTACACTTATATTTAGTTTTCTTTTAAAAAAATGAGTATCTTAAGTGTATTGTGGAGTTTTTTTCCTTCACGTTCCCCAGTGGAACATAAGGCTTCAAGCTAGTGGCTTGAAGTTTCTGTAGCAGTGGTGTTTATTTTTACAGGATGAGGTTGCTAGCCTCATACCCAGCCCAACCTTTCCTCTTTACCAGATTTTTTATTACTGGCTTAACGAGGTAAAGGAGTGTGTCGTCGGCCGGGGATCGAACCCTGGACCATGTGCGCATGGTCGGTGGGCGCCCTAACCGCTGTGCCACCGACGCACACACTATTAATTTAAAATTGCATACATTTATTCCCCTTAATGAATTTAAAATAAAGCAAGAACAACAGTGGGGCTTTTGCAGAATAATATGGTACCATCTTTTGTTTATTTCGTTGGCCTCTCATCAGCTGTTCACAGGCCAAAGTCATTATTAAGTATATCTACAGAAACAATCTTAACATACTTGCACAGAGAGTTCATTTTTAAACAAAAATCAGTCAATATATGCATACAATTATAATACATATGTAATAATAATAAACACTACAGGATTTTCATCATGAGCTGACATTAGTTAGAGAACCATTGGAAAACACACCAGGGAGTACTGGACGGCTGTTTCGTCCTAGTTTGGGAATCTTCGTCAGTGCGCACCCACCGGGATTCGAACCCAGGACCTTCTGGTTACAAGACCAGCTCGTAGACCATTAAACCACTGGGACTCGATCCAATGGCCAGTCCATGAATTCTAACTTCTGCCAATTCACGATATAGCGCGACCCCTAGCCAATGTCTTCGGCGGCGAGTATGTGTCCTCACGCCCGACCCATTGCACCCTGCTGGTCACGACTTCTCACTAGAACCCCAGATAAGTACCTACCTGAATAGGGCCAGTTGCTAGTGAGCATCTCATTAATATTCAAGTGTTGGCTTGTAGGGATTTGATTGGTTACAGGATTTTCATCCTGAGCAACAATAATAATCGTAAACAATGAAAACTTTCGGCATTACGTAATCAGATGAAAAAGAGACTGAAAGTATCCAGTTACCAGGCAGCAGGGCAAGACTGAAAGACTGATAACCGCTTCTTTCTGAACGCGTACACGCATAAATCGGTTTTTTTAGGCGCTTGATGATAGAGATTGATTCGGCAAACTTAAGGAGAATTGAACTCTTTTGCCTATTGATCGTTCAAAAATTGACTACAATTCATTGACGACTAATTAAAAGTAAAAAGAGAAAAAAATAACTACAGCGTAAAGGCTGTAATCTATTATTCTACAGAATTTTACAACACTTAGAATAAAGGAAAAAAAGATGGTAGTTTGTGCAGAATAAGTTGCTACCATCATTTATTTGTTTCGTTGGCTTCTCATCAGCTGCGTATACATATAGCCTAAAGAAATTATTAAGTGTTTTATGTACAGGACAATTTTAGCATACTTGCAAAGTTACATGATGTCAGTTAATGACAGGAGACTCCAAACTTAGTAAACAGTTCTCAGAAAGTACACTTATTTTAAAGCTTTTATCCAGGGAGTTCAAGTTTCAACAAAAATTATAAACTCTTGGATACACTGTCAAGAGTTACGTAGTAAAAACAAGAGGTGGGTAAGATGATGAGTAACTAATAAATTGGGTAACAATGTGATGAGTTCAACTCAAATCATGGAAACAAGAGACAAGCAAAGTTGCACTATGTAAAAGGAGGGGGAAAGGGTTTAATGTAGAGATTGCGTAATCAAATGACGAGAGAGAGAGAGAGAGTGGAGACATCGAGTTGCCTGCTGAAAAAGCGCAAGAGAAGACTGATAATTGCTTCTTTCTGAAGATGTTAGTTGGGTTTCAGGCGTTTGATGATGATTGTTTCGGGGAACTTGAGAAGAATTGAAGTATTCTGTCTATTGATAATTTCAAAGGACTTTCTGATATCTGGTAATGACACTCTTGTGAACATTTGTATCCCTGAGGTGCAGGCTCCTTGGTACTTGTTCATAAAATCGGAAGTGTGGCCTTCTTTTTGTTCTCCCAATGTCACTGCTCCCGCAGATACATGTAAATTTATATGCACAATTAGAGTTAAGTTGAGAAGGGTATCTGTCATCTTTTGATTGCGTCAAAGAGCATGTTGTTCGATATAAGGTAACAACTTCGCTGGAAGATAGATTGTGTCTGGCGAGGTTGGGTATTCAATCTTTGGTTGACTATTCCTGCAATATTATCACCTTTAAAATAGAGTTGAATGAGGATAAACCTTTCTTGGACTAAGTTTTCTAATCTTTACTTGTCGTCCCATATGCTTGTCTAACCATCTACACAAAGAAGTCAAAACTGGAATAAAAACTTGGCATCAGTCCACAAAGTCTTTGATAGTTGGTTTGATCCACGAAGGGAGGTGTAGACCGTCTAGTTGAAGTCCTCGAGACACTAGGAACAAATGTCTAGAGTGGTCTATAGCGACATGACTGAAAATCGTTGTCAATGGCGGAGATGCGTACACTCTATATATAATCTTCCAGATCTGTTAAATCCTCATATTTCTCCATGTAATTATTCTCCCCCACCGCGCTCCTCAGAGCATTCCCGCTCATCATAATTGCTCTTGAATTTGGTTTTTCTCCATCTGCACTTTTGTGCGAAGTCCTTTGTTGAAAATTAGTCATAACTAAGACTTTCTGATATAACTCAATCTGTATCTTTACATCTTATTGGTTCTTGTATTTCGCTTATTCTTCTGTATTTCCCTTCCTTATTCTTTCCTGGATTCCCCAAGAAGGACTTTTATATTACCAAGCCAACTCATTGATGTTGTAGTCGACCGGCCCGTGAATTCAGGCAAACAAAACTGGCTAACATCATTGTATCTGAATGTGTGCGCGTCCTCTCTATTCACAGCTGTAAACCTGCATCTCCCCTCCGGTAGATCGAAAGTAATTTCAAAACACTTTATAGTCGTACAACTAAGTATAAACACTCAACGGGCCTTTGTTTGGTAATTATTTTATGTTTCGCTACGGTAAAAAATAGCTATTCCATTCTCTGGTCCGGGGTTCGATTCCCTGCCCAAAACTAATAACCCCAGTTGGATGTATGGTGTTGTTAAAGCTCATAAGTCACGATACCCTATTAAACCGATAGTTGGTTTTAGAAATTCACCTACTTATGAATTACCTAAATATTTAGCCATGGTATTAAATCCCCTTAAAAGCCACTCAAAATCTAGACTAACAAATTCTTCTTCTTCACTTCGGCTATCTGCTACGGGAGGATGAGCCTGCTTCATGAACTGAGTTCATGAAGTTTCATGGGAATTTGGTACGAGTGATGTCCCCAGAATCGCTCGGCCTTTTGTTTGAGAGTGCAGCTCTAGCCTTTACACAACCAAGCGTGACCTACAAGGCAGTAGGAGTGGAGTAGGGAGTCCACTATCCATTGGCAGCCGGTGACCGGAGTTCGGTTCATACGCCTTTTTGAATGGGGCCAGACATCCAGGACATCCAACAAGCCCTTTGTCCATACGTCTCCCGGTGAGCTCCAGTGAGCTTCATACGCCAGTCGTTGGAGGTTTGGAATCAGGGTTTAACCATCCCCCCTAGACTGTCATCCAATGGACAGTCAACCCGGTGAAGAGCGCCGGGCATCCGCTTTCGCCCTCTCACTTTGGTGAAAAACACCTCCGCCACGTGAAGGTAGTGAGTAGGACTTCCTCAGGAGAGGCTATGTAAGACGCCCAGTCATATGGGAGCATTTCAAGAGGTGTGCGGAGGGGTGACCAACCCGCAGCGCAAGGCACCCACCCCCGACCATTCTGAGGCTTTGGAGGCAAATTCTTATGAACTGAAACATAGATTAGATAATTTAAAATTAGATAATGAAGAGAAAATGGTTAGTTTTGACATTGTCAGTTTATACACACGTATACCAATAAATATGGCTATGGAGGCAGTCAGAAACGAACTCATTTCTGACCAAGAACTTATACTTAGGACGAAAGTGCCACTCGAGGACATAATGCTGAGAGTACAGCTATGCCTGACTTCTACAGTATTTAAATTCCAAGGGAAAATATACAAGCAAATTGAGGGAGTTGCCATGAGGTCACCATTATCCCCGGTTGTGACAGATATATTCATGAGTAGGTGGGAAAATATAGCGATTGGAACGTTCAGCCCCACCCCCAAAAGTATGGTGGAGGTATGTATATGACACATTCACTGTACTTAGAACACAGGATATAGATAGATTTTCGAACACATGAACTCAAAGGTGGGGGAAATTCAATTCACTTATGAATTGGAAAGTCAGGAAGGGAAGCTTCCAATGTTAGATTGCAGAGTAAAAAGGAAAGAAGATGGGAAGTTAAACACTAGTGTTTACAGGAAACCCACACATTCAAACAGATATTCGGACTTTCGATCATCCCATCCTATGTCAGTAAAAATAGGATTGGTGAAGTGTTTAAGTGACAGAGCACAAAAACTAAGTAGTGGTAAGGAAAATCTAATACAGGAAGTGAGGCGTATGAGAGAAGCTGTGAAACTTAATAATTACCCTGATAAATCAATCAGAAAGTATGTGGGAAAATGTAAAAATAAAATCAATAATAATAGTAGTGGTAGTGATAATAGTAATAATAATATTAAGGACGACATACATGTCAAACATGCTCAAGATAATGACAACACTAAAATTAAGGAATCTAAATCATCAGTAGTAATTCCATACAAAGAAGGAACCTCGGAAACCTTACGCAAAATTCTCAACAAGGCAGGAATAAAATTGGCATTCAAGCAAGCAAAATCACTTAGAAACAAACTCTGTCGGTTAAAGGGTCCTGTGGAGCCGTTCAAACAAAACAATTTAGTTTATCTAATACCCTGCTGGAATGATTGTCAGGTCAGATACATAGGTAAAACTAGTAGAATAGGTGCAGTCAGACAAGTGCAGCATAAAAACCTAGCAAAATCTAGATTAGTTGATTCGAATAAGATAAGAAATCTGGAGAATAGTTCAGCTATATCACTCACTAAATGCAATTGCACACAATCATACAATGGAATGGGATAGGATGACAGTTTTAAAATCTAATGTAGCAGCAGGTTGCAGGGAGAGATTGATAACACAAGCTTTGTTTGTCGAATCAACTGCAAATACATGTAATAAGAATGATTCAACACCTGTCCACCCATATATCTGGAAAATTCTACTACCACACCTACGACGACAAATAGGAGAAGACAAAGAAAACTATAAAACTCAAGTTTCTAAGTTGTGTGATTACAATTGAAATGATTATGAACAACAATAAATTGTGTTCGAATTCATGTCATCCAGTAAATAATACTGTTTCAAGTGTTGGTTTGTAGGGATTTGATTGGTTACAGGATTTTCATCATGAGCTGACATTCGTTAGAGAACCATTGGGAAACCTGTGAGTACTGGACAGTTGTTTCGTCCTAGTTTGGGACTCTTCATGAGTGCGCAGACACCGGGATTCGAACCCAGGACCTTCTGGTTACAAGGCGAGCTAGCTCGTAGACCATTAAGCCACTCATTGGGACCCGATCCAATGGCCAGTCCATGAATTCTAACTTCTGCCAATTCACGACATAGCGCGACCCCTAGCCAATGTCTTCGGCGAGTATTTGTCCTCACACCCGACCTGCTGCACCCTACTGGTCACGACTTCTCACTAATAAACAAACTAATATGGAATTACTTACTACCACCACAATGCCTTAGTTTTACACATATATATGAATTACTTTTATTTGCTTTCTTCTGCCTATGTAATTGGATACAAGACACCATGATTAAAAAATATTCTGTGGTCAGATATATATTATTCCTTCTGATTAAACAATATAACTAAAATGAAATGTCTTAAAATAAAGATGAGTTGATCAATCGATTGCATAAAAGAACAAGATGTGTACATCAATAATGGTTTAAAAAAATCTTCTCTAGTACACTTGTTGAAAAACACTCTTTACACAAACAATCATTCAAAACCTCTTCATCTTTACTTTGTGTTATGTATTCATCAGGCATCATTAGTGATGTATTTTTTTCTCTCTTCAGATACTAAGGAAATTATTACTATTATTACTATTCGTCCAGTATTTTGGCTTCTTAATACTATTGTAGGATTTCGTGGATACTGAACAGTTTTTTTTACGAATGTCAACTACCACAGTGTCTGTCTTGATTTAATAATGTCACATAGGTTGACGGAATGGTATCACTTATTGAGATATACCTTTTTTATAAACCTTTGGAAATTCAATCACACATTCAAATTCCACCTTTCTTTTTCTACACATGGATTTAGTTATTCTTCATCCAATTTAGGGAACTATTAGACTGGTAGTCCAGTTAATGTTAGTAGCAGTTTCACTATTGGTGCTCCCTTGGGTTCCGAGTGGAATATAAGACTTCAACAGCACATCCCCACTTTTTGTGCTGTTCTCTGGTGTCCTCTCTAGCTGGCTCCACGACTGCTCATAGTGTCTCAGCTCCTATGTCACTCCGGGCCCCAAACCCAACTTGTCGTTTCCCATTCGGGTACTCCTCCAGGATCTATCTGACGCGCGATTTTACCCAACGGTCCCCGCCGTGTGTGTCTGATCCATCCCCATTTTCTTCGGAATATTTCTTCAGCAATAGGTTCTCGCCTGTTGGTTCGTTCCCAGAGTTTCTTGTTGGTAATTCCCTCCGACTAACCATTTGATCTTCATTATGGAGTCAGGAAAGGGGAGTATCTGTTGGATACAAGTCTGCAGTTGCCTGTCTTAAATGCGTTTCTTGGCGCGGGAGCAGCAGTGCAAGTCTCTGACCCATGCAGAAGAAATCCGAATTTAGTTGTTTATGCTACATAGTTATGAGAATGTTCGGTTTGCCCTTTCGATTCTGATTTTGAAATCTTCATCTATGCCGAATGCCTATAGTTGAAACGATTCTGCCTGACCGGATGATAAGTGAAGAAAGTGACGTCTTTCAAATTTCTTCCGTTGACAGTGATTGGTTCTGGCTGTTGTTGTTGGTTGACTATCTCCATCACTTCCATCTTCTTTATGTTCACTTGAATTCCTCTCTTCGCGACCTGCCTTTTCTGCCAACTTGTTGATTTTCGCCTGTAAATCACCGAGTTTGTGTGACTGGCTGACTGGTTTCAACGTAAAACTTTGCACCGACCTGCTGCAGTTTGAGTCGCCACACTCCATGTAGCACACAAAGCAAGAGAAGAAAGTAAAAAGATATGCAAAATAGAGACAGTAAACAGAGATATGAGGCAAAAAGAATGGTAATATAGAAGAACATTACAGTTTTATTGGGTATTATAAAACACAAAGAGTGGATGCATCTGCGCCAATCCATTGAGAACGAATTTGAGCCAGCCATATCAACAATTGTCTCCAGACCTCATTGGTTTCTACCATCCCGAGCACCCCAATCAGACAGTAGTCTACACCATCCTAAGTGGCTGGTTTAAGCTAACTGTTGTGGATTTCACTGACTGATGAAGCCATGTTTTGGTTTGGTTTGTGTAACCTTAGATACAAATCCTGTCTTCTTGCTCCCCATAGTCTGATGCATAATCGAGTCTACCATGATTATGGAAATCATCGGTGATAGTTGTGGGCAGTTTTGTCTTACTCCTGTATTCACTTCAAATGCTTCTTCTCTTGGTTTTCTGTTGTGGACCACTTGACATATGGCATTGTCACATAGTTGTTGAATGAGGTTGATAAAGATTTAAGGTACTCCATAGTGTTGAAGTAGTTTCAAAGTTACTTCGCGGTTAACGTTATCGAAGGCTTTTTCAAAATCGACAAAGTTGTGTCAAGTCATGTTATCGTCCACCAGCAACATAAAACCTTGGATTACATTACTGGTGGAGATGTGACTCCATTCGCTTAATTGCTCGATTTTCAGGCAACGGATCTTGGGTTCGAATCCTGTCTGTCCTGCTTCAGTCTGAGAGACTTTTCAGTTTTATATACCCCCTCACATTATAAATGTGACTCATAGCCGGACACATGAAATATCAATTCTGAGTGAGCAAGATGGCGTTGCATTCACTTTTTTCATATTTCATTATTCCAGACTGAATAAACACTGCTCAGGAAATCAAACTTGTATAGTTTATCCCTAGTGAGTTCAGGTTTGAACAAAAATAAGGGCTTGGATACTCTAGCAAAAGAGTTACGTTGTGAAGACAAGAGGGGTGAGTAACTAGCAAACTGAGTAACAATACAGTTAGTTCAACTCAAATCATGGAAACAATAGACAAGAAAAAAGGGTGGGGACAGAGGTTAAAGCTAAAGATTATGTAATCACATGAAAGGGAGAATAAAGACATCCAGTTACCACCAGGAAAGGGCAAGGGGAAGAGTAATAAGTGCTCCTTCGGTACACGTTAGTCGAGTTGCAGGCATTTGATGCTGATTGCTTCGAGAAACTTGAGGAGAATTGAACGGATTTGTCTATTGATAATTTTAGAGGATTTTGTGGTGTCCATCTCATGACGCGTGTTGATGAGAGTGTTTGCGCTACTGTAAGCGTTTGCCCCCTTAAGATGTAGACACAAATTTTTTTTCGTGTTTTATTCAAATTCACTATCTGAGTTGTTTTGTATACATCATTACGCCTTGTTTCGTTAGTAGGTAGAGGAAAGAAGAGGAATATACTCATTTAAAAACAGCAGTTAAGGTAGTCAATATCTCGAAATTATCATTACTATTATTGTTTCCTTTAATTTCTAGAGGAACATAGGGCTTCAATCATGCGTCTCCATTGCGTTCGGTTCTCTGCTAACGTATCCACCTGGCTCCAAGTCTGCCCACACGTTTTCATCTCCTCTTCACATGACCTCCTCCAAGTCACCCTTGCACTGACGACCAACTCGCCGCTTCCCTTTCGGGTTCCACTCGAGCGATGGCTTGTCTAGTGATGTCACTTGATGGTTTCCTCAGAGTATGGCTAGCCAATCCATCTCCATTTCTTCCTGCCTATTTGGTTCACAATCGGTTCCTGCTGTGTTGGTTCGCTCCCAGAGACCTCTGTTGCTGATCTTTTCTGGCCGGCAATCTGATCTTCAGTTGTATTGAGCGAAAGCAGCTGTTGAAGAAGGTCTGTAGTTTGTTTGAGATGCTCTTTATGACGCGCCAAGTCTCTGATCCGTATAGTAGCACTGACTTACTTCACATTGGAGTTGAAAATCCGGATCTTATTTTCATTTTGATGTTGAGAGTTGTTGACCTCCACACAGACTTGAGAGTAGTGAAGGCTTGTCTTGCTTTCCCGATCCTTGCTTTGATATCCTCGTCAGTTCCGTCCGCCTGTAGTTGAAACGATGCTTCCCAGGTAGGTGGGTAGGTAAAGGAGGTTGTTTCTTTCAGGTTCCTCCCATTTATGCTGATCGTTGTCTGTTGTTGTTGTTGTTCTTGTCCAGGAATCTTCATTATCTCTGTTTTCTCGATGTTCACCTGAAGTCCTATCTTTGATGCTTCTTCTGCCAACTTGTTGCTTTTCGCTTGCATATCTCGAAATACTGCCAATAAAGTCTCATACTTGTAATCATTTCATTTCTTCTAACTTATGCCTTCATTATAAACGTACATTTCAATTTGAATAATCAAATTACTTAACATTTTGAAAGTTAATGAAATTTTTTTGGAAAAAAGTATGTTTTGTGGGTAAGAGAGTCTGAGATAATCTTCGTTTAGCGTATTAATCCTGGAGGTAATTAGGTCTTATTTGCAGTTACTGTCTAGAAGGAGGTAGACTATTTCATGAGGTTGGTCATACTATGGCGTGATACAGATTATTAAGCAGCGGACAAAATGTGAAGTCAACATTTTATGTCAATGACCGCTGCAGCAGAAGTAGAACTGTTTATTCCTAAAATCTGGATTTAATTTGCAACTGGCGATACGAAATAATCTCATTGGACAGCTTGTTTAACCTTGAGCTGATTGGCAACCAATCAGAAGATTTGATATTCTCCCTGTCCTAGTCGTAATTTAATATGGCTAAGAATGTATAAATAAATATGATGTGTTTTTCCCTAATGGAGGTTCGTTACCCAGTTTCTTAGCTTCTCTGATTACAGTACCACAGTGTAGTGATAATGATTATGGCTATTTTCCACTATTATTAATGGTGTCTTGTCTTGTCGAGTTAAGGTTTATTTGATATTTGTTTCAATTACTGATAGAACGGCCTCTGATCACACAAGTGTTTACAGGGTATTCGATTCCCAGCTGATGCATTCCTGAAACCTCCCTCATCTGGTAAGACGACTGGGAAAATTGGTAAGGTTTGGCGTGAGTTTAGCCACTCCATGTCATATAAAAGGAAACACCACTCACTGCTACGGAAACGTTTGAAGTTGAGGCTTGAAACCCTATGTTCTGCTCGGAATGCAGATGAATAAAATGGTTCGAAGACTTTTTTTTCCTTCACGTTCCCCAGTGAAACATAGGGCTTCAAGCTTGTGGCTTGAAGTTTCTGTAGCAGTGTTTATTTTTACAGGATGAGGTTGCTAGCCTCATGCCCAACCTTTCCTCTTCACCAGCATTATTTCTGGCTCAGCGAGGTAAAGGAGTGCGTCGGCGGGGGATCGTACCCCAGGCCATGTGCATGGTCGGCGAGCGCCCTAACCGCTATCTATACCACCGACGCACTGTATAATAATAATAGGTCGTTTCTATGGATCTTGTATACACAGAGCAAGAAGAACAAGTTATCACCAATTGAATGAGTATAAGCTTTTGATGATAATCTATGCAGAATGTAATATGTTATCGATTGTATGTACTTATTATCGTTGTGTTTTAATCTTTTCTTATTATTCTTTAGGAGGAGAATTACAGAATGTTATGCTGATGTATTTCCAATTGTATTTTGTCATAATGATTTTCAAGAAAGTAAGTGATGTGCTGTTGCTTTCTTGTTCAGTTGGGTGATAAAAAAACAATTTTATTTTTATATTTAACACTATGCCATATTTGCTTATGGAACTGTGGCTCATTGATTGTTATGATCTCGTCACCAATATGTTATGGTGTCGTTGCCCATACTATAGTGTGACTGAGTGTAAATATACGCTAATGAGGTATAACGGACGATAACGTACAGACTGGTATTGCTGAGTACTTAATTTGTTCTGACGCGAAGGTGGAAAATCAGAAGACCACCACGTTCACGAATGGATACGTGTATTTCCCAACAAGGAAATTTAACTGTCACACAGGAGTGTGTGTGGTAAGATGCTAAAGGGTACGAAAGAGTGTGAAAGTGTACGAAAAGAGTCTGAAAGCGTGAATTTAACTGTACAATACAAGAGTATATAGGAAATAACTAACACACATGAACGAATAAGACAGATAGTATTTTTTCTTGATGTGGTTGTGTTCTCTGAGCTGGATAGTTAATTTGCGATGCTTTCATCGCCCGCCCTACTAGGCGACATCTTCATTGCATACACTTCAATTTGTTGAAGTGAGCTTTTAGATTTCTCGACGAGTTTATTAATCATCTCTCGCGGTGACTTTGGACGTGATTGGTTGTTTTTGTGTGTTTTCACACCTTCTAGGTTATTTGTATTGCAATTCATTATTTCGTTGACTTGGACTTTGACCCTTTGTGTGTGAGGTTTCCTTCTTATCGGTTGATATATTTTGTCTATCTTGATGTGTCTATTGACTGATGATTCACTGGAATGCCAAGCTTCTAAAAATTCTCTAGTATTCTTGGTGTCTCCTCTGTCTAATATTTGAACGTTGTCCCAGTCGAATTGATGTCCGTGGTTGTCTGTATGTAGTGATATGAGGGAGTGGATATCATGTCTTTTGACAGCTAGCTTATGTTCGTGTATACGAAGACGAAGGGGACATCCACTTTGGCCAATGTAGTGTCTTTCGCAGTTGACACAATCTATTTTGTAGATGATGTTGGTTTTATTTTCTTTCGCTTGTTGAGTCTTTTGGTTGACATAGAATTGAGCGAAGTGACTTTGTTGGTTTGTGTGCGACGTCAATTCCTAAAGGTTTGAAAAGTCTTGTAGTGATTTCTGAGATATCCTTTATATATGGTAAGGCGATTTTGTTTGTGCTTTCCTTGGGGGCTTTTGGTTTGATAGGTTGGCTTGGGGGTATATGTCTTTCCATTCTTTTGGAAGACGTCCATGAGATATTTTTCTGAAATTTTCCTTATGGTGGGAGTGCTGCAATAAGTCCTGCCTCTCTTGTAATAGTGTTTGTATGCAATTCCTCGTGTTTGCTAATGGATTGTTGCTGTTGTAATTCAGGATTTGGTCTGTGTGAGTTGATTTTCTATAAACTTGAGTTTCTAATTCCCCTGTGGTTGTTCGCTTGACTAAGACGTTCAAAAAAATGGAATTTGCTTCTCTGATTCCTCTTTTCTTGTGAATTTGATGTCGTTGAAGACGTTGTTTATCAGGCTGTGAGCTTTATCTAACTCGTTTCTTTTGATAATTACAAATGTGTCGTCTACGTAACGTATCCAAATCTTGGGTTTGATCTTTGGTAGAATTATGTTTTCGAGCCTTTGCATCACTGCTTCTGCAATTAAACCTGATATTGGCGATCCCATAGATGTTCCTTTGACTTGTTCATATATATGGCCGTTGAATTGGAAGTACTTTGTTAGGCATAGGTTTATGCATTCCATCCAGCTTGTTTTACTTACCACCACTGGGTTCTGATTGGTTGCAATGTCATGTGACCAAGGTCATACATTGTTTATTATTTAGTTAATGGACAGACAAAACATATTCTGAGCTTTAATGGAATAAATAATCAATATACACATAGTAAAATATATCAGACTGTCAAAACGAAGCAGACATCATGTGACTCTACATATCATTGATCTTGGCGGTTGACTTCCAATCACTGATCTGTTGGGTTGAATCCGTCTTCAGAACCAACTGTCATTAATAGCCCTTTCACACAATAGAGGTGACTCATTGCCTCAATTGCATGGGCTAACATTTCATAATTTTTAATTCATGAAAAATCCCCATTCGAACATCAATAAACAGAAGACCAGTATTAGTTCAGCGAAGAGTCTCTTTACGGCGATGAATTCATTTTCATAGCTGTACAATCGCAAATGTATATATGGTTGTTTTGTATATGTGTGTGTGTGTACATTAAATTTGTCAAACGAAAATACAATCAGTATTTTCAGATGAAATGGATGTTGATATAGGAGTGTAGTAACAAAAGTGATGAGTTGTCGCAAACGATTGTTAAAGAAGAGTTACGTAATAACAACATGAGTAGTTTGATGAAAGAGTTATGCTCAGGGTGAACATGGAAACAAAATAACATACGGAATTAAGTAAGAGTTTTAAGTAGTTAGAAAAACAGGCATATAAACAAAAGTCAAGTCAACAGAGTTCTATGCGTATATATCAGTTCACCTGTGGCTGTGGAGCCAGGTACATCGGTCGTTCCTTACCTATCCTGTCAAAAAAGGTCAAAGAATATTATCACACAGCATGGCTGCAGAAAGGAATTAGTGACCGTATAAGGAGTACAATAATCGAACATCTCGTCACCACTGGTCATTCCATCTCAACAAACGCCTCCTACTTCAAAGTAATCTACAAAGTGAAGAACAACCTACCAAAGACAACACGTTTCCGTCTTCTTTGTATTGCAGAAGTCTTAACCATTCAGTTAGAAGAACCAGAATTATGCATACAAAAGAAAATTATTCAGCCACTTTTACTATCATTGTAACAGCTCTGTTGATTTGACTTACCTTTTGCTTGTATGCTTATTTTTCTAACTTACGTAATTCCGTATTTTATTTTGTTTTCATGTACACGCTGAGCACAACTCTTTCATCAAACTAATCATGTTGTTATTACGTAACTCTTCTTTAACAATCGTTTGTGACAACTCATCACTTTTCTTGCTACCCTCTTATATCAACATCCAATTCATCTGAACTTACTAATTGTATTTTCGTTTGACAATCATAATTTTTATTCTTTCATTCATTTATAATCTGAAATATCTAAATGATTAGGTGGTTGGTGGTAATCGGCAGGAAACCCAGCTGGACCTAGGTTTCGTGCTTGTTGGCACTCACCAGTCAGCAGGGCGTATCTGCGACTACCTTGAAGGAACTCATGTCCCTTCTGAGATTCGAATTCGTATTACCCAGGGAGTACTGCAGTCAGAGGCGTTACCACTGAGCTATTCTTACCCTATGTAGAACTATATTGGATATACTTTGATTGGACACTGGTTAGTAACTGGTATCATGCGTCTGTTGTCTTGTTTGGTGCAGACCGAGTTCTGTCAGTCAAGTCTCCAGCATTTGTCTCTTGAATTATTGTTTCCATTAACTAACTTGTAATTCTGCAGTCCACTTCTGTCTTATGTGTTTTTAATGTTATTCCAGAGGGGAGAGAGGTATCACTTAAAGTTTTTTGAACCGCTTTTGTGAATAAATTTCAGAGATTTCTTGAAATGATCGTTAAAACTGAATGAAATCAGAATAATCATTAATTTCCGTTATATGCATCTTTGTTAACGTGTTACTGTTGTGAAAAAGGAGATCCCTTAACCTTCTAAGGGTTAAATCGTGTTCAGTAATCAGGGAATTTATCGAACTCACACTTATATTCATAGTCAGCCGGAGTATGATATATATATTTTTTAGATAAAAGCTAGAATAATAGAATCAACCAACTTTTTTCGGATGCATATGTTGAACTTCTTAATGTAGATTCCGACTGCCTCGGTAAGATGTAATAGGCGAACCCTTGAAGTGAAATTAAGACTAAGTAGTATTTGGTAGATGGCTTGGAAAGCCGTTTTAACATCAATTTTATGTTCTGTATCCAAGAAATGAGATAGAATATAACTATGGATGGACTTTGTTTATCCTTTGCCTAACCACAAAGGATGCTATTCAGAAATCCGATAATAAACACGCACAATCTTACGCCTTATGCAGCTGGCTCCACAGAAGCAGTCAAATTGATAGATACATACAGAGTAGGTTAAGTTTGTGAGTTAACCTTCAACTTTCGAAGTTAAAGTATGGGTGGTTTTGAAGAGAAAGCATATTTCAGCAGCACTGAATGCTCTGTTTACCCGCATTCCCAGTATATCACTAGTGTATTATCACCGAGGAACTGAAGTCAGATTATATTATTATTATTGTTCCTTTGGGTTCCGAGTAGAACATAGAGCTTCAACAACACATCTCCACTTTTTTCTACTTTCTGCTCTCCTCTACAGCTGGCTCCACGATTGCCCATAATATCTCATCTCTTCTTCACACGATCTGCATATCACCCTAGGAAGACCCACTCGTTGCTTCCCATTTGGATTCCACTCGAGCAATGGACTGCATTGAGCGCGATGTCATTCAACGGCCTCCTCAGTGGCATACGCCTGATCCATCTTCATTTTCTCCCACATATTTTTTGAGCGATCGGCTCTTGCTTGTTGGTTTGTTCCCACAGCTTCTTGTTACTGATTCTTTCTTGTCATTCGATCTTCAGTAATGAGCTAAGGCAGGTGTTTATGAAAGTCTGCAACGTGTTGGAAATCCTTTTCGTTACACGCTGGTCAAGTTTCTGACCCGTATAGAAGAACCGACTTCACATTTGTGTTGAAAATTTGAATCTTGTTGCTGTGTAGAAGATTTCCAAACTGGTTTCAGGTTGATGAAGGTGTATCTTGCCTTTACGATTCTCGCTAGCTTTGACATCATCCATGCCATCCGCCTGTGGTTGAGACGATGCTCCCTAGATAAGTGAAGGGAGTAACCTCTGTTAAGTTTCTCTCACTGATGGTGATTGGTGTTGGTTGTTGTTGCTGTTGGTGGTGGTTGGTTATCTTCATCACTTCTGTCTTCTCCATGTTCACCTGGAGTC